GTAATTACTCTCCTTTTCTTCCTTTCTATCTATTTTTTCCATTCCCCTTAATTAGTTCACTTTCTGAAAAAGTTAATTTGAGCAAATGATTCATATTTATTTCATGAGTTATACACTACATAATGAAAGCATTTGCAACAAAAAAAGAAAAAAAATCAGAAAAGACGAAAATAATAATCTAAACAAAAAAAAAGATGAATTATTGAAATAACTTCGAGAGTAAATTACCTGATGAGTAGTGTTAAGAATAATTTTTTTTAATTAGTCCAGCTGAAATGATTGCGAAGCGTCGGTAGAAAAAGAAAATCTAAACGACAAAAAAAAGAACAAAAATTTACACGAAATAAATAATAAATCAAACGAAAAGCAAGAGAACAATCTAAATAAAAAAAGGGAAAATTATTGAGAGAAATAATTTCAAAAGTAACTTACTTAAAGAGTAATATTGGCAACCATATGTTTGAAAAATTCATCCAGTTGAGATGAGTGGATGCGTTGATCAGCCGAGTAATACGTTCGTCTAATCTTCGATAACAGGCTTTTTTTGTCATGATATTGTGGCCTTGGAGAATCTTCGCCATGTTCACCTCGAATTTCGATTGTTCCAGACGAATTTTCGCTGCCAGCTTCACGATGTCAGTATGATTCATTGTGACGCGACTTGCGAATGCATTGTGCCAGCCTTCAACCGAATTATTGGGACGAGGTATAGCAGCAATGACACGATCATGAATATTCCATAAATTGTGATCATATTGAGGCTTCTTTCGACAAGTTCCTAAGAAAATCAATTATATTTCATATTTCTTAAGAAGGAAGAAAAAAAATTACCTCTTCTTTTTGGTTCACCAATCCATGTCTTTTCAAAATAATCAAGTAAATCATCGACGTCATCGTCGAATTGATTGGCAATTAAGTCAAAGCCAGTTGTAACTTCATCTACTGGAACAAAGACAAGAGCAATCAATTTTTTCACATTTAAACGAAAGTACTCATCTTCTCTATATTTTGTTACCAATCCTTTTTCTTGAACTTGCTGCCATATCGCTTGTGAAAAATGAAAGAAACATCCTATAACAAACATTCTGATTACGTTTTTTTGTGAGAATATTACAAAATACCTTTATGTAAAACGTTTGGCAACATTTCTCTTACGGATGTGATTGTACCAGTTTCGAAATCAGTCATAATTGATTCAGGTTGAAAGTCGTCTTGCACTAATACTTTTTTGAAGAATAAATTGTAATCTTTAGCGCTTTTACCAATTAATAATCCATACACAAGAGGGATAATTGCATTAGTCATCATCGTGTGTAGCGTAAACAATTGATAATAATCATCAGGTCACACCTAAGTCAAAGAAAATTAGAAAAAAAAGATAAAATCTAATTGATAACTTACTTTGAATGTTCCATCAGCGAACCAATATTTATTTTGCTTCAGAATTGATAAATTCGTTTGTGTTGTAATAATAATTAAATTTTTATCTTCGCACAAGATGAAGTCTTCATCGCGATACGTCTTTTTTAATTTTTCTGGTAAACGACCATCGGCATAGACTGTTTCAACAGTACGCTGTCGTCGAATCATTAGCATAAGCGCTTCATTTTTTGGAAGTTCACCAGCGGCACTCAACGGATACGTACGCAAAGCCGAATGAATAATGGACCTGATTGATTCATCTGTTGTTACGGCACGAGCTGTTATTTCATTTTTTAATTGGATAACAGGTACACGATCAGGTTGAGGAGCGTGACAATGGGCTGTTGGTTGTGAGAGAAATACGCCCACAGGTGAATTGGTATGATATCGAGCTTAATAGATCAATAATTTTTGTTTTAATTACCTGATAGCAACTGTTAACTTACCTTTACAATCTCGATTCTGGCAACGAAAGATCAATTTCGTCGATGTTGTACATTCTACAGTGTAGATGTAACCTTCGTGATGAATCATTGGTTTTCCTTTTAGAGAAAGAAGTTTTTCGATTTGAGACATTTTGATTAAAGAGTAATTCGCAATGATAGTTGATATTGAAAAATAAAATGTATTTTTTTCTAACTTCATATTTAAGGATATTACTTCAGTGTATATCTTTAGTCTGGATTATGATAAAATTGATTAACCGAGTAACAAATCTAATTATTCATCGTTAACTTTAGCCCTGTTGCGATTATATATTAGTAATCGTTTTATGATCCACTTTCTCAATTAGAGTCATTAGTGTTGGAATTATTCATTGTCTATTTTAACTGTACACATTTCATAAAATTTTTCATTTATTTTATTTCAATTGGTTTATAAAAAAAATTCATTAATTAAGTGAAATACAACAAGTAAATAGAAAGAGAATGAGAGTACTTACTCTGCGACGAACAGAACGCGACGAAATGATCGTGCGATGGAGTGAACGGTCACCGATCGCAGCCAAAGAAACGAATATTCTCTCCTTTTCATACTGTTTTGATATGGAGCTTGACACTACTATTGACATAAAGATAACAGACCTTGTTGAAATCGTATCACGTATGGGTGTGGGTGTGGATGGCATTTTCACTGTCCCACATACATATCCATATCCCATACTCGCTAATATTACGCGCCACCTTTTTAGCCAAACTTCATCATGAAATACATGATCTTGCTTAATTAATTGAATTTGGAATTTGAGTATGTTTACTGGTGAATACAAGATCAAAACAACAGCGATATGTTT